TCTCTCTCTCGTAGGGATGTCACTAGAGCAGCAGCAGCAGCTTGTGAATCGATGTCCAAGTTGGAACTTTACAACGCGGGGCCTAGACACGCGGGGCCTTGCCTCCTGCCCTCGCCTGGTCGCGTTTGCTTTAATTCCCTCCCTTAAGTTTAATTTGTCTTCACGCGGCTCGCTACTTTGTCACTTTGGTTTACTGTAGATATTAACGCGGTTTTTTTTTCGTTTTTTTACCAGCCCAAGCCCGCCTGAGCTGCTGTACCGCTCTTGTTTACAGAAGCTACCTGCCCACAACAACAACAACAAGGTGGGTTTTGTCAACGCGTGTCTCGGTGTTTTGACTTAAAATTTTAGCAACTGCAGCAATTCATATTCTTGGTTCTTTCTGTAAAGTCACGGAGATAGAAAATGAAATAACAGAAAAAATATTAAATTAAATAAAAAATTGCAAATAAAGCAAAAAAACCCACGACGTTTTGACCGCAACACAAGTGGTCTTTGTTTATTTCCATTATCTGTTATTTGTATTTGCTATCTACGTGACTTTAGAACCAAGACTACGTGTGTCAATGTCTGTCAAACACGCTGAGCGCGTGCTGATGTTGACTCTAAATGTGGAGGGGACAACCCCTGCTGCTGTTGACCATGGCAGTGTGTGTGCCAGAGTCAAGTCTGTTCACTCTGTTGAACACGCACGTTATATCAAAACAATATTACATCTTCTGGGTTCTTTCGGTAAAGTCACGTAGAAGGGAAATAATAAAATAATAAAAATAAAACATAATAAAACAATTCTCACGACGTTTCCCTTCTACGTGACTTTACCGACAGAACCAAGAAGATCTATTAACTCTGTTGAACACGGAGGTTATATCACAACAATTGTTTGTTTTTGGTTTCCTCTGGAACTCTTTATAAGAATGGAAAAGTCAAGAAGTTGACACAGCACACACGTGCAGCAGCTGAAGTCAGATCTGCTCATCTCAGCATTCAGGACATCTAAGCCTGGCTGGCTTCACACCGCTAAGTTGCGATTGAACATTAATTTATGCATTTCTGCATAACACAAATAGGATTGTTTTCAACACCCTTTGCAATGTCAGCCGAATTTAGCTCTTATAAATATCTATTTTGTAACCAGACAGCCAAAATTGTGTGCTCGGAATTTTGGGTTAACATTCATTAAGAAGATACGAGGGCTTCCAGGCATATTTATGACCATTCACCCTCTCATTGTGTGCCATAACAGCCCGTGTGATGAATTTGGGAAACTTTTTCACTATATCATGAATATCTATGAATAAGTATAGACGTGTAAGTCACGTGTTACTATGTAAATATGCATTCCTCTGTGTCTCGATACTGATGTGTAGATGGTGTGGATATTCTTTTTCTGTCTGCAGCTGTCGCTTCCTCTGCAGAATTGGTCTGATGGAGCAAAGGCACTCGGCGCAGCTCGGTGCGACAAGGCATCAATGCGACCGGTGTGCATACAGCACGGATCGTCCTGCAAATTTGACACGGCACCAGAGAACTCACACAGGAGAGAAACCCTTCAAGTGCAGTGTGTGTGGGAAGGCGTTTGCACAGTCATCTACTCTTGTAACACACCAGAGAACACACACGGGAAAGAAACCCTTCAAGTGCAGTGTGTGTGGGAAGACGTTTGCAAAGTCATCTACTCTTGTAACACACCAGAGAACACACACGGGAGAGAAACCCTTCAAGTGCAGTGTGTGTGGGAAGGCGTTTGCACAGTCATCTACTCTTGTAGCACACCAGAGAACACACACGGGAAAGAAACCCTTCAAGTGCAGTGTGTGTGGGAAGACGTTTGCAAAGTCATCTACTCTTGTAGCACACCAGAGAACACACACGGGAGAGAAATCCTTCAAGTGCAGTGTGTGTGGGAAGGCGTTTTCACTTTCATCTACTCTTGTAAAACACCAGAGAACACACACGGGAGAGAAACCCTTCAAGTGCAGTGTGTGTGGGAAGGCGTTTACACTTTCATCTACTCTTGTAGCACACCAGAGAACACACACGGGAAAGAAACCCTTCAAGTGCAGTGTGTGTGGGAAGACGTTTGCAAAGTCATCTACTCTTGTAGCACACCAGAGAACACACACGGGAGAGAAACCCTACAAGTGCAGTGTGTGTGGGAAGGCGTTTGCACTTTCATCTACTCTTGTAAAACACCAGAGAACACACACGGGAGAGAAACCCTTCAAGTGCAGTGTGTGTGGGAAGACGTTTGCAAAGTCATCTACTCTTGTAACACACCAGAGAACACACACGGGAGAGAAACCCTTCAAGTGCAGTGTGTGTGGGAAGGCGTTTTCAGATTCATCTACTCTTGTAAAACACAAGAGAACACACACGGGAGAGAAACCCTTCAAGTGCAGTGTGTGTGGGAAGGCGTTTTCAAATTCATCTACTCTTGTAAAACACAAGAGAACTCACACGGGAGTGAACCCCGTCAAGTGCAGTGTGTGTGGGAAGGCGTTTGCACAGTCATCTGCTCTTGTAGAACACCAGAGAACACACACGGGAGAGAAACCCTTCAAGTGCAGTGTGTGTGGGATAGCGTTTGCACAGTCAGCACATCTTCATGTACACCAGAGAACACACAAGCATCAGAAGATCCACCAGGAGTGGAGTCTGAAATCAGCTTGTGAAAGTCAAAGTTCTGCAATGAGCCCATCCCTCATCAAACAAGAACCGGACGACAATCCCAGCTTGGACACTTTGAAAGGTATCGAGGTGAAATGTGAAGAGGTGAAGGTGAAATGTGAAGAAGTGATGGTGAAGAGCAAAGAAGTGAAGGTAAAATGTGAAGATGAAGATTCAACTCCAAAATGTGACCTTCACATCGATGGAGGCAACGTGAAGCAGGAGGAGAATTCTGACTGTGAGGCAGAGCGAGGCAACTCCCAGCAGTTTGTGGAAGTGGAGGTGTGGGTGGCCTCCGAGACAATACAAAGTCAAATGGAGACCCGGTAAATGTGTAAGCCAGAGACGATGTCGCTCCAATAGATGCACCTTTGTCACAGGCCTTTAATGACAAGAATGTGAAGTTGAACACTCAGTTCCTAGGTTCAACCTGCAGGGTAAGGGTGGCCAGTCTTTGTGGACCTGTGTGTTGGGTTGATCTCTGACCAGCAGAGAGCCAATAAGCTCCCAAGCATTCACGATGTTATAATTGCTTTTACATGGTGCTTAATCCGCTCAGCAACTCTGAGTTTTGTATCGTACCTCGTCTCAAACATTCTAAGAGCACCCCAAGTGGCAGCTGCCCCTGTGTGGCACACGGTGGTGGCCCTGCACCGGCCTGCGTGTGGACAAGAGCCTGTCAGTAGGGGGCGATGGTTGATGTGTAATCTCAGTTGTGGAGTTTGTCGGTAATGTTTAGAATTTGCTACATTTTTGACCCAGACGCCAACTTGCAAAGGCCTACTCGTTTTGAATTGTACAATTGTGTGTTTCACATCCACTGTTCAGTAGAGGGTGCATTCTTTAAATAGCTCCTTGTTAATAAGATGTTATCTAAACTAAATTATTCAATTTTGGAAGAACGTAATCAACCAGGTAGGGTGTTGACTTGTGTTGGCTGACTCTTGTGTTGTGTTGCATTATATTTCTAAGTTCACTGTTTGTTTTCTAATTCACTTGTTGTACCTGACGATGGTTGCTTGTGTTCCAATCGAAACGTCGTATTCTATAAAATTTCGTTCTACGTGACTTTACTGAAAGAACCAGAGAATAAGATGTTATCTGATGCAGTATATTTCACTGCAGTTATTCAATTTTGTGCATATGCCTGTCAATAATTTAGAATGAATACTTGTCTGATTGTGTGCGTACATGTAACACACTGTATGTACACAATGCACACACAGTGTACACACACAGTGTACACACACTGTACACACAGTGTACACACACACAGTGTACACACACACACAGTGTACACACACAGTGTACACACACGCACAGTGCACACACAGTGTACACACACGCACAGTGTACACACACGCAGTGTACACACACCCACAGTGTACACACACACACTGTGTACACACACAGTATACACACACACACAGTGTACACACACACACAGTGTACACACACAGTCTACACACACAGTGTACACACACACACAGTGTACACACACACACACAGTGTACACACACCCAAGGGGTCTCTGTTCAAGAGATGGAGCAATGGAAAATGGATCTAAATCAACTTAAACTCCAACCCCGCTCTGTGACGTCACCACTCAGCATTACGTCATCCGCGTGAAACGCCAGGGGAGGTGTACCTCGCTAGTGACGTCATGTCACCAAGGATGTCACCCCCCTCCCCCCCGTCCACCGCGCTCTTGAACGTGACGTCACCTCCGCCTCGGTCACTGCAGAGATCGTTCCAGTTGCCAATCCTTATTTGGGCAAAGCCACGCCCAGTGACTGGCGGCTCATTAACATAAAGAGTTCGTTAAAGACGTCACGAGTTTATTGCGACGGTCTCATTAACATAATTTATTCATATTCGCATTTAGTTACAGAGCCGCTCGTTGTGGGAGGGGCGTGTCTCGTACCCAGGAAGTGACGTCATGTCACCTACTACCGCGTGACGTCACGAGGTAACAGGAAGCTGTCGCTCCGCGCGTGCAGTGAAATCCGAGGTGAGAAATTCTCATCGTCGTGGTGGTTGTTGTGGTTGTTGTTGTTGTTGTGGTTGTTGTTGTTTACCAAGGTAGAGCCTCGCTCTCTCTCTCGTAGGGATGTCACTAGAGCAGCAGCAGCTTGTGAATCGATGTCCAAGTTGGAACTTTACAACGCGGGGCCTAGACACGCGGGGCCTTGCCTCCTGCCCTCGCCTGGTCGCGTTTGCTTTAATTCCCTCCCTTAAGTTTAATTTGTCTTCACGCGGCTCGCTACTTTGTCACTTTGGTTTATTGTAGATATTAACGCAGTTTTTTTGTTTGTTTTTTTACCAGTCCAAGCCCGCTTGAGCTGCTGTACCGCTCTTGTTTACAGAAGCTACCTGCCCACAACAACAACAAGGTATGGGGGGTTTGTGAACGCGTGTGTCAATGTTTTGACTTAAAACTTTAGTAACTGCAGCAATTCATATTCTTGGTTCTTTCGGTGAAGTCACGGACATAGGAAATTTAGTAAAAATAACAGATAATAAAATTACTAAAAGTAAACAATTGTAAATAAATAAATAAAACCCCACGACGTTTCGATCGCAACACAAATGGCCTTTATTTGATTTTATTATCTGTTGTTATTGTCTATCTACGTGACTTTACCGAAAGAACCAAGAATACGTGTGGAAATGTGTATCGGTCAAAGACGCTGCACGCGTGCTGATGTTGACTCTAAATGTGGAGGGGAAACCCGGGAGATTCGGAGGAAAATCCACGCGACCACGGAGAGAGAGACACGCAAACCCCAAATATACAGCAGCAGGCGTCAGGGTCGGGATCGAACCCACGACTTCCTGTATACCAGGCGAGGTAGTTAACATCTCACCACGGAGAGAGAGAGACACGCAAACTCCAAATATACAGCAGCAGCAGGCGTCAGGGTCGGGATCGAACCCACGACTTCCTGTATACCAGGCGAGGTAGTTAACATCTCACCACGGAGAGAGAGAGAGAGACACGCAAACTCCAAATATACAGCAGCAGGCGTCAGGGTCGGGATCGAACCCACGACTTCCTGTATACCAGGTGAGGTAGTTAACATCTCACCACGGAGAGAGAGACACGCAAACCCCAAATATACAGCAGCAGGCGTCAGGGTCGGGATCGAACCCACGACTTCCTGTATACCAGGCGAGGTAGTTAACATCTCACCACGGAGAGAGAGACACGCAAACTCCAAATATACAGCAGCAGCAGGCGTCAGGGTCGGGATCGAACCCACGACTTCCTGTACACCAGGCGAGGTAGTTAACATCTCACCACGGAGAGAGAGAGAGAGAGACACGCAAACTCCAAATATACAGCAGCAGGCGTCAGGGTCAGGATCGAACCCACGACTTCCTGTATACCAGGTGAGGTAGTTAACATCTCACCACGGAGATACGAGGGCTTCCAGGCATATTTATGACCATTTGCCCTCTCATTGTGTGCAATAACAGCCTGTGTGATGAATTTGGGAAACTTTTTCACTACATCATGAATATATGAATAAGTATAGACGTGTAAGTCACGTGTGACTGTGTATATGCATTACTCTGTGTCTGACGTGTAGGTGGTGTGGATATAATTTTTTTCTGTCTGCAGCTGTCGCTTGGTCTGATGGAGCAAAGGCGCTCAGCACAGCTCGGTACGGCAAGGCAACAATGCGACCAGCGTGGATACAGCACGGAGCGGACTGGAAATTTGACACAGCACCAGAGAACACACACAGGAGAGAAACCCTTCAAGTGCAGTGTGTGTGGGAAGGCATTTTCATGGCCATCAGTTCTTCAGATCCACCAGAGAACACACACAGGAGAGAAACCCTTCAAGTGCAGTGTGTGTGGGAAGGCGTTTTCACGGTCATTTGCTATTAAAACACACAAGAGAACACACACGGGAGAGAAACCCTTCAAGTGCAGTGTGTGTGGGAAGGCGTTTGCACAATCACCGCATCTTCAAGCACACCAGAGAACCCACACGGGAGAGAAACCCTTCAAGTGCAGTGTGTGTGGGAAGGCATTTTCACTGTCATCTTCTCTTATAAAACACCAGAGAACACACACGGGAGAGAAACCCTTCAAGTGCAGTGTGTGTGGGAAGGCATTTTCACGGTCATCTTCTCTTAAAAAACACCAGAGAACACACACAGGAGAGAAACCCTTCAAGTGCACTGTGTGTGGGAAGGCATTTACACAGTCATCAAATCTTAAAAAACACCAGAGAACACACACAGGAGAGAAACCCTTCAAGTGCAGTGTGTGTGGGAAGGCATTTTCACGGTCATCTTCTCTTATAAAACACCAGAGAACACACACGGGAGAGAAACCCTTTAAGTGCAGTGTGTGTGGGAAGGCGTTTTCACGGTCATTTGCTATTAAAACACACCAGAGAACACACACGGGAGAGAAACCCTTCAAGTGCAGTGTCTGTGGGAAGGCGTTTGCACAGTCATCTGCTCTTGTAAAACACCAGAGAACACACACGGGAGAGAAACCCTTCAGGTGCACTCCGTGCGGGAAGGCGTTTGCACAGTCATCAAATCTTCATGTACATCAGAGAACACACAAGCATCACAAGATCCACCAGGAGTGGAGTCTGAAAGCTTGTGAAAGTCAAAGTGCTGCAATGAGCCCATCCCTCATCAAACAAGAACCAGAAGAAAATCCCAGCTTGGACACTTTTAAAGGTAACGAGGTGAAATATGAAGAGGTGAAGGTGGAATATGAAGAAGTGATGGTGAAGAGTGAAGAAGTGAAGGTAAAATGTGAAGAAGTGATGGTGAAGAGTGAAGAAGTGAAGGTAAAATGTGAAGATGAAGGTTCAACTCCAAAATGGGACCTTCACATCGATGGCAACGTGAAGCAGGAGGAGAATTCTGACTGTGAGGCAGAGCGAGGCAACTCCCAGCAGCAGTTTGTGGAAGTGGAGCTGTGTGTGGACTTCCTCTGAGACAATACAAAGTCAAATGGAGACCCGGGAAATGTGTAAGCCAGTGACGATGCCGCTCCAATAGATGCACCTTTGTCACAGGCCTTTAATGACAAGAATGTGAAGTTGAACACTCAGTTCCTAGGTTCAACCTGCAGGGTAAGGGTGGCCAGTCTTTGTGGACCTGTGTGTTGGGTAGATCTCTAACCAGCAGTGAGAGCCAATAAGCTCCCAAGCATTCACGATGTTATAATTGCTTTCACATGGTGCTTACTTAATCCGCTCAGCAACTCTGAGTTTTGCATCGTATCTTGTCTCAAACACTCGAAACATCCCCAAGTGGCAGCTGCCCCTGTGTGGCACAAGGTGGTGGCCCTGCACCGGCCTGCGTGTGGACAAGAGTCTGTCAGTGGGGGGCGATGGTTGATCTGTCATCTCAGTTGTGGAGTTTGTAGGTAATGTTTAGAATTTGCTACATTTTTGACCCAGACGCCAACATGCAAAGGCCTACTCGTTTTGAATTGCACAATTGTGTGTTTCACATCCACTGTTCAGTAGAGGGTGCATTCTTGAAATAGCTCCTTGTTAATAAGATGTTATCTAAACTAAATTATTCAATTTTGGAAGAACGTAATCCACCAGGTAGGGTGTTGACTTGTGTTGGCTGACTCTGTGTTGTGTTGCATTATATTTCTAAGTTCACTATGTTTGTTTTCTCATTCACTTGTACCTGACGATGGTTGCTTGTGTTCCAATCGAAACGTCGTTTTCTATTAAATTTCGTTCTACATGAGTTTACTGAAAAAACCAGAGAATAAGATGTTATCTGATGCAGTATATTTCACTGCACTAATTCAATTTTGTGCATATGCCTGTCAATAATTTAGAATGAATACTTGTCTGATTGTGTGCGTACATGTAACACACACTGTACGTACACAGAGTGTACACACACACAGTGTACACACACAGTGTACACACACACACTGCGCACACACAATAATGTCCACGTTGTAGTTGCTGAGCTCACACACCCAAGGGGTCTCTGTTCAAGAGATGGAGCAATGAAAATGGATCTAAATCAACTTAAACTCCAACCCCGCTCTGTGACGTCACCACTCAGCATTACGTCATCCGCGTGAAACACCAGGGGAGGTGTACCTCGCTAGTGACGTCATGTCGCCAAGGATGTCACCCCCCGTCCCCCGCGCTCTTGAACGTGACGTCACCTCCGCCTCGGTCACTGCAGACATCGTTCCAGTTGCCAATCCTTATTTGGGCAAAGCCACGACCAGTGACTGGCGGCTCATTAACATAAAGAGTTCGTTAAAGACGTCACCAGTATATTGCGACGGTCTCATTAACATAATTTATTCATACGTACCCAGGAAGTGACGTCATGTCACCTACTACCGCGTGACGTCACGAGGTGACAAGAAGCTGTCGCTCCGCGCGTGCAGTGAAATACGAGGTGAGAAATTCTCATCGTGGTGGTTGTTGTTGTTGTGGTTGTTGTTGTGGTTGTTGTTGTTGTTTACCAAGGTAGAGCCTCGCTCTCTCTCTCGTAGGGATGCCAATAGAGCAGCAGCAGCAGCTTGTGAATCGATGTCCAAGTTGGAACTTTACAACGCGGGGCCTAGACACGCGGGGCCTTGCCTCCTGCCCTCGCCTGGTCGCGTTTGCTTTAATTCCCTCCCTTAAGTTTAATTTGTCTTCACGCGGCTCGCTACTTTGTCACTTTGGTTTATTGTAGATATTAACGCAGTTTTTTTTTCGCTTTTTTACCAGCCCAAGCCCGCTTGAGCTGCTGTACCGCTCTTGTTTACAGAAGCTACCTGCCCACAACAACAACAAGGTGGGTTTTGTCAACGTGTGTCTCGGTGTTTTGACTTAAAACTTTCGTGACTGCAGCAATTCATATTCTTGGTTATTTCGGTAAAGTCACGGAGATTAAAAAGAATAACAGATAATAATGTTAAATAAAATAAAAAAAATGCAAATAAAGAATAAACCCACGACGTTTCGATCGCAACACAAGTGGTGTTTTTTTAATTTAATTTCATGATCTGTTATTTTTATTTCCTATCTACGTGACTTTACCGAAAGAACCAAGACTCCGTGTGTCAATGTCTGTCTGTCAAAGACGCTGAATGTGGAGGGAAAAACCGGGCAGTGTGTGACAGTGTAAAGTATATTAACTCTGATGAACACGGAGGTTGTAACAAAACAATAGTTTATTTTAGTTTTCCTCTGGAACTCTTTATAAGAGTCGAAGCAGGAAGTTAGCACAGCACACACACGTGCAGCAGCTGACGTCAGATCTGTTCATCCCATCATTCAAGGACATCTGAGCCTGGCTTCATACCTCTAAGTTGCCACTGAACAACATTCCTGCTGCTGCGGAGGGAGCTGGTAGGAACGTCGGGTTGCTCGCTCAATGGCCTGCAGGGTCAACGGCGGCGTGGTGTATTCCGCAAATATGCCGACTGTGAGGGCGGGCACAAGCCGGCGTGAGTAGGTGAAACGTTGAGTTTTATAAGGGCACCACGGGGTGACCAGCCCCTCCCCACCCAGCCCCACCCTCCCCACCCAGCCCCTCCCCACCCAGCCCCACCCCTCCCACCCCCCACCCAGCCCCACCCTCCCCACCCAGCCCCTCCCCACCCTCCCCTCCCCACCCAGCCCCTCCCTCCCCACCCAGCCCCTCCCTGCACGACGGACGGACGGACACAATAATCCCCTGTGGGCTGGTGTAACTAGGAGGTTCCTACCAGTGACAATGTTGCCAATTGCTTCGTTTTTATTTGGCGAGTCCTGTTCTCTCCCGTGACGAGGTGGATCCGCACGACGATGTGTGTGAAGTGACTGTCATCGACAACACGATGTGTGTGTGAAGTGACTGTCATCGACTATACGATGTGTGTGTGAAGTGACTGTCATCGACAACACGATGTGTGTGTGAAGTGACTGTCATCGACTATACGATGTGTGTGTAAAGTGACTGTCATCGACAACACGATGTGTGTGTGAAGTGACTGTCATCGACAACACGATGTGTGTGTGAAGTGACTGTCATCGACAACACGACGATGAGGTTTCGACGTGTATCCCACCGGCGAGGGTGGCGAATGGTGTCGTGGCTCTGGGGGCGGAGGGGCGTGAGATGTGGCTCACATTTCCTGAATGACTTGGTCAAGGTGCCACGTGCACTTGCATCTCACAGCGCGATTTGGGCAATTAGAACACACAACGGAATTGATTACACCTGCTTGCTTCATCAATTAAAGCCCATCGAGAATCAATTATTCTAAATGTGTTTGTGTGCATCGATTAGGGGCCGTCATTAAATGACGTCACGCACCTGGCGTGACGTCATTTATGGACGGCCCCTTAACTACTTTTCATAGAGGATTTCACCACGGCCGCAGCCGTGTGTGTGTAGGTGAGTGTCTGTGTGTGTGTAGGTGTGTGTCACTGTGTGTGTGGTTAGTGTCTGTGTGTGTAGGTGAGTGTCTGTGTGTGTGTAGGTGTGTGTCACTGTGTGTGTGGTGAGTGTCTGTGTGTGTAGGTGAGTGTCTGTGTGTGTGTAGGTGAGTGTCTGTATGTGTAGGTGAGTGTCTGTGTGTGTGTAGGTGTGTGTCACTGTGTGTGTAGGTGTGTGTCACTGTGTGTGTAGGTGAGTGTCTGTGTGTGTAGGTGAGTGTCTGTGTGTAGGTGTGAGATGCCCCTGTAGTTGTTACAGACTGTAACAACTACAGGGGCATCTCACTCCTCAGTGTGCCGGGTAAGGTCCTGGCAAGGATTATTCAACATCGCCTTGCTAGGCACGCTGAGGAGGGGCTTGCGGAGCCCCAATGCGGTTTCAGGAAAGGGCGGTCCTGCACAGATGCCATATTTTCTGTCCGTCTGCTACAGCAGAGGTGTAGGGAATTCCAAAAAGACCTACATCTCTGCTTTATTGACCTGGTCAAGGCCTATGATACCATCAGTAGGACTGGACTCTGGGTTATTCTTCGTGCTTTCGGAGTCCCTGACCCTCTGCTCACGATCATTAAGGACCTTCATGATGGTGAGCGGGCCCGGGTAAAACTACGCGGCCGGGAGTCGGAGCCTTTCCCTGTACACCTTGGGGTGCGACAGGGATGTCCTCTGGCTCCCACATTATTTAACATCTATTTTGACCGCGTAGTTCGTGAAGCCTTCAATAGCTGTACCGGGGGAATTTCCGTTTGGTACAGATATAATGGGAGGCTGATCGACGCCCGGGTGCGATCAAGGGATGGCTCCCTATTGGTCAACCACGTTATGTATGCCGATGATTTGGTAATAGCTGCTCATTCAGAAGAGGAGTTGGAGGCGCTGCTGCTGAGACTGGAGCGTGCCACTAAGAGGTGGGGCCTTACCATCAGCCCCACCAAAACCAAGCACCTGCCTGGGTATTTTGTACCATCGGACACTCCACCCCCACAACTCCCAATTGGTGATGGGGCAGTTGTGGAGAGAGTGGAGAGTTTCCCATACCTGGGCAGTGTGCTTATGACCGGCTCCAGTCTATCAGCAGAGGTCTCACTCCGAATCAGTCGAGCGGCAATATCTTTTCATCGGTTGTGTAACGCTGTGTGGAAGCTACCTGGTCTGTCGCTCCGCACGAAGCTTCAGGTCTTCTCGGCCACGGTCATTCCCTCCCTTCTCTACGCTTGCGAGACGTGGACCCCCCTGGTGGAGCATCTTCGCCGGTTGGAAACATTTAGGCTGGCCTGCCTACGATCCATCCTGGGTTTAACCAGGCTGGATTGTGTGAGGAGCTCACAAATCCTTGAAAGATCTGGGCAAGGTCCCATCAGTGAGCTCCTCCGGCAGGCAAGGCTGCGTTGGCTGGGTCATGTAGCCCGCATGCCCAGCCACCGCATGCCTAAACAGCTTTTGTTCGGCCGGATCGAGGGGGCTAGACGGGCGCGGCACGGGCTGGAGAAGAGATGGAGTGATGTGGTACAGGAGGACGTGGAGCTGAGTGGACTTGCCGATGACTGGTACCAGCGGTGTCAAGATCGGCCTCAGTGGAGGAGGCTCGTGAAGGACGCTACTGGGCAGTTGGAGGCAGTCGCCCTCCAACAACAACGGAGGGCGGAGGAGCGACGCTCACAACAACGAGCGGAGCGCCGGGTGGCTAAAGCACAGCAAGTTGGCACAGTAGGGGGCACAGGTGGTGCATCAGCCAGTCATCTCGGTCATCTCGGTCAGTCGACCAGTGGCACCTGGGTCTGCCCCGTGACCTCCTGCCAGCGGGCTTTCGACACTTCACGTGGCCTCAAGGTGCACTTGGCCTGGCACAAGCATCGTGGTGACGTCACCGCCACTTAGTGGCGAATGGCGGTTGTTGTTGTCACTGTGTGTGTAGGTGAGTGTCTGTGTGTGTGTAGGTGAGTGTCTGTGTGTGTGTAGGTGTGTGTCACTGTGTGTGTGATGAGTGTCTGTGTGTGTGTGGTGAGTGTCACTGTGTGTGTGTAGGTGAGTGTCTGTGTGTGTGTAGGTGTGTGTCACTGTGTGTGTAGGTGAGTGTCTGTGTGTGTAGGTGAGTGTCTGTGTGTGTGTAGGTGAGTGTCACTGTGTGTGTGTAGGTGAGTGTCTGTGTGTGTAGGTGAGTGTCTGTGTGTGTAGGTGAGTGTCTGTGTGTGTGTAGGTGAGTGTCTGTGTGTGTGTAGGTGTGTGTCACTGTGTGTGTAGGTGAGTGTCTGTGTGTGTAGGTGAGTGTCTGTGTGTGTAGGTGAGTGTCTGTGTGTGTGTAGGTGAGTGTCTGTGTGTGTAAGTGTGTGTCACTGTGTGTGTGGTGAGTGTCTGTGTGTGTGTAGGTGTGTGTCACTGTGTGTGTAGGTGAGTGTCTGTGTGTGTAGGTGAGTGTCTGTGTGTGTAGGTGAGTGTCTGTGTGTGTGTAGGTGAGTGTCTGTGTGTGTAGGTGAGTGTCTGTGTGTGTGTAGGTGAGTGTCTGTGTGTGTGTAGGTGAGTGTCTGTGTGTGTGTAGGTGAGTGTCTGTGTGTGTGTAGGTGAGTGTCTGTGTGTGTGTAGGTGAGTGTCTGTGTGTGTAGGTGAGTGTCTGTGTGTGTCACTGTGTGTGTAGGTGAGTGTCTGTGTGTGTGTAGGTGAGTGTCTGTGTGTGTGTAGGTGTGTGTCACTGTGTGTAGGTGTGTGTCACTGTGTGTGTAGGTGAGTGTCTGTGTGTGTGTAGGTGAGTGTCTGTGTGTGTGTAGGTGTGTGTCACTGTGTGTGTGTAGGTGAGTGTCTGTGTGTGTAGGTGTGTGTCACTGTGTGTGTGTAGGTGAGTGTCTGTGTGTGTGTTGGTGAGTGTCTGTGTGTGTAGGTGAGTGTCTGTGTGTGTAGGTGTGTGTCAATGTGTGTGTGTAGGTGAGTGTCTGTGTGTGTAGGTGTGTGTCACTGTGTGTGTGTAGGTGAGTGTCTGTGTGTGTGTAGGTGAGTGTAGGTGTGTGTCACTGTGTGTGTGTAGGTGAGTGTCTGTGTGTGTAGGTGTGTGTCACTGTGTGTGTGTAGGTGAGTGTCTGTGTGTGTAGGTGAGTGTCTGTGTGTGTGTAGGTGAGTGTCTGTGTGTGTAGGTGTGTGTCACTGTGTGTGTGTAGGTGAGTGTCTGTGTGTGTAGGTGTGTGTCACTGTGTGTGTAGGTGAGTGTCTGTGTGTGTGTAGGTGAGTGTCTGTGTGTGTGTAGGTGTGTGTCTGTGTGTGTAGGTGTGTGTCACTGTGTGTGTAGGTGAGTGTCTGTGTGTGTGTAGGTGAGTGTCTGTGTGTGTGTAGGTGTGTGTCACTGTGTGTGTAGGTGAGTGTCTGTGTGTGTGTAGGTGAGTGTCT